GGCCTGCTCCCCGCGGGCAAGTGGACATCCCCTGAGGGCTGATGGGCTGCCAGAGGGATGTATGACTGCCATCTTAGGCCCAATCCCCCAGGGAGCGTGCCTAAGTCAGCAGGTGGTAATCCCCTGAGGGGGTCCGAGACTGCAAGAGGGCACAGACGCCGGGCTGAGGGACCCCCCTCCCCCCCGAGTACACAAATTTTTGTGCACCAGGCCTCTAGTCCTATATAATAAAATGCTAATATGCAAATTGACCGAAGAGTGGAATGACTGGTGGAACGACTGGTCACTATGACATGCACTGACCACCAGGGGGCAGACGCTCCATGCAAGAGCTGCCCTCCCCCACACAACGGGGGGCAGCTCCTGAGTTGAGTGTCCACCCCCTGAGAGGAAGGTGACTAGTGGCAGCGATCGGGGGGAAGAGCCAGCCAGCGGATAGCACCAGGCTGCCAGCCAAGGTGGGTGCCAGCAGGGGCCCCCAGATTGTCCCACCAGACAGTCGCCCCACAGATGGCCCTGCTCACCAGCCAGACCTTGGGACCCTACCCTATATATTGGGAACAGTCTCTTAGATTTAAAAATTAAAACCTAGCAAGGCTACTCACACTGAAAAAAACAGGATGACGCAGTGATGACATGCACATTTTGTGGTCAGCCCTGATTCTGACACTTACATGACAAAGCCAATTACTTAACTTCTCTCTGCTTCAGTTTTTCCACCCATAAGATGGGCAAAATAGTACTACTGCCTCAGAAGGATCATGTTATGTACTACTTTTTATAATCAGGGCAAAAAAATGTAACTGTCATACAATAGGAAGATGACTTTCACCTGTATGACAAGTATTGTCACGTTAGCGCATGCAAGCGTTATGGATTGCGAGAGGGATGTCCGACTGCTGTTTTAGGCCCGACATCCCCCAAGGGGTCCCGGATTACGAGAGGACGCAGGCCGGGCTGAGGGACCCCCATTCCCGCCATCTTCTCCCCCCCTACCCCCCCGCATGAATTTCATGCATCGGGTCTCTAGTGTAACATAAATGAGGGAGCCTAACACGGTTTAATAGCACGTTGTAGGGACTCAGTTAAGTATCTACTTTCTTAAAGTTGCTAAACCTAACTGTCAGCTCCCAATTAAAAAGGAGATTTCAAACCCTAATGAAGACTATATACTGCTCTTCATCATGGATATACTCTGGAAAGATCATATAATTATTGAATGTCAGTACCAAGAATGGACATTGGAAATCAGCTAGTCCAGCTTCCTCACTTTACACTAAAAAATTTGTCCAAAAGATTGTGCTAAAACCTTACACCCATCTGGTTGAATGGCAAAGCAGGATCATAAATGTAGAGATTCTAGATAGCCTAGACAAATTTCTTTATGCTACATCAATAATTATAATACAGTTTTTCCAAAGATCAGAAAACATCTTACCAGATTATTAGAGACAGGAAATGCATATTTCATTAGATTCTCAAATATGGATCTTCTCGTTCGCCCCTCAGGTTTATGAGCAAACCGTAAATTTCGAATATCCTAAAAAAGATTTAGGCTTCAAGTCATCTTTCATTGTTTGTTCACTTTTTATTTAATGAAAAGTTAGGTAACTTGGAACTATCTTGTAAAATATTAAGATCTGGTCCTGGCTGGGTAGTTCAGTTGGTTAGAGCATCATCCCAATCCCCAAGGTTGCAGGTTCCAGCCCCTGTCAGGGCACATACAAAAAGTAACCATTGAATACATGGGTGGATGGAACAACAAATCAATGTTTGTCTTTTTCTCTCTCTCCAAAGTAATTTTTTTTAATCCTCACCCAAGGATATTTTTCCTATGGATTTTTTTAAGGAGAGTGAAAGGAAGGGGGGTTGGGGGGGGAGAAATACTGATGTGACAGAAACACAAGAATTTGGTTACCTCCTCCACAAGCCGGCAACCAAGGTACGCACCCTTGACTGGGAACTGAACGCGTAACCCTTTGGTCCTTGAGCCAGCACTCTAAGCGCTGAGCAAATGGGCCAGGGCCAAAATCAATTTTCTTTAAAAAGCTTTAAAGAACTGGGAAGAGGAGGAGGGGGGAGGGGAAGAGGAAGGGGAGGAGGAGGAGAAGGAAAAAATGTTAAGATCTGTAAATGTGGGGCACAAAAATCATTCAGACATCTTCTGAAGGGAGGGAAATTACAACACTTCACTGAGAAAAATAAAAAGGCAGAATTCAGGGGACAGAAAATTTACCACTGCTTATGGATTCAAGATAGGCCCATGAAAGTGAACACTAGAGTGGAGATTAGAGATACTGTATTTGAAGCATAATGCTCTCCACTTTGTAAGTCTCCTGCTACTACACCGCTAGAACCAAACTCTGCCTAAACGTCTTTCTCCACTCCGTATCCAAGTCCTTCAACCATCTACTGGCAGATCAATTCTGAACAGTTTTGTTGGTATCATCTGGTCACTATAGTCAGATCTAAAGACCAAGGTTCCCTTACATTATTTGTCTTCAATTCTTTGTCTTTTTTTAAATTTTTTGATTTCTTGATTTGAGAGAGAGAGACAGAGATAGAAACATCAATTTATTTATGCATCATTGGTTGCTTCTTGTATGTACCCTGACTGGAAATCGAACCCACAACCTCAGCGTATTGGCACAATGCTCTAACTGACTGAGCTACCTCAGCTAGTAAAAAATTTGGGATTAGAAATAATTTCAAGACTTCATTTTATTTAAGTGTTTTAATCTAGGCAGAACTCAAAATAGCTTTAATATACCCTGTTCTATAAAACCAAACACAAACGTCACACTACAATGTACATGAAAAGATAGAACATTTTATTACAAATCTGACCTAAAACTAGAATGTTAGCCCTACCATTCTATAAAACAAACATGTGCAGGAAGCTACGCTGATACCTTATTTTCTCTCAGTAAGTACCTTAACAACAGTAGAGATGTCCCTAAGCACTGTGTTAACCACAGAGCACTCTCTAACTACCATAGCAAAAGCCCTGACAAATGTCTGGGCTTGTTAATGGTCTTGTCTATGAAAAAAATTGCACTTGAAATTATCAAGATTTCAGCCACCCTCGTTCCTTTTCTCTTGGTGTCTGTGCTCTATTTACTATTACACTCCAGAGGAGCGATGAGGAGACAGTGCGCTTGACACAGGGTTGACAGTTATTACACTCTTAAAGCCATTCTGACTATACTGGAAAAGCAAAAAATAATTACTAAGTCATTAGCTTTAATGATAGATTCACAAAGATTAGCATATGAAAGAATCTTAAAAGTTATGCATGTACTGTTGCTTTTACTCTTGGCACAGGCAGACCAGAAAAAAGGACAACAGTGATCCAGAATTGAGATGAGCAATGATTAGGCCACAGTAAGCAGAACAGTGACCTGCAAAGAGGCATGTGGTATTAAGTATCTGTGACTGAACGCTAAAATTGTAACAATCTAAGTTTAGATTGTTTAGTTCAAGTATCAATACATTTAAAGAATGCAAGTTTGATACGAAAACAGGAAAGGTCTAAATAACAAGCTTTCCCCACGATTGTTTCAGAAAAATTATGAAAAGTAGAGGAGAAAAGACTGTTGATGATGAATATATCATAACCAGTTTTTCCACTACAAAGTGCCATATCTTCACTGCTCAGATCCTTGTGTTTCTCATATGTAAGTTTAAGGTAATAATGCCTATCATATCATGCCTATTTCAGAATTTTTATGAGGCTCAACATGAAATAATGAATGTTTAAGTACATTTTATTGGGTCCAAAAGAATTCATGTCTAATTCATGATAGAGCAGCTTACTCTTAAATGTTGTTTTCCTCTACGAGAATAACATTTCCAAGATCCATTAGATATTTGGTAACCAGTTTCTAAACACCAGTTCTAATTAATAGTTTTCCATACTAAATAAAACTGCATATATATTATGAAATTTACCTTGCACACAGTTTCTAATCCATAAGAATTTTCACCTCGACTAGAAGCACCACCAATTTTTTCCACTCTACTTATCACACCAAGAGAAGCATCTAAAACAAATGGGGGATCCTAAAGGAAGGAAAGAGAAAAACAAAACCAAGCAATGAATATTGTACAATTATAGCTGAGAAAAATTTTAACTGGTAATGCTTTAATTAAAAATGATTAAAACTGTCTGCAAACAATACAGAAATGTACACATAAAAATCCAACCCAACAAGACTTACCTGTTCCATGCTTTTGAAATATAACCTGTAATTCGTGACAGTCAGAGTTCCTCGTACAGGAACAGTGAATGGACATATATAAGTTACATCTTTGGCTGAAAAGAGAAAGGGTCCACAATTTACTATAGAGTATGCACCATTAAAAACTGCACTCTCATCTTTTCACAAATAAAATTTAATAGAATTCTGACTGCTATTCTAACTTATGCTCAAAAATCACAGAATAAATGATTTAAATCCAAGCTTCCAAACATGCAGTAATCAGGGGAAGAAATTGAAAATAAATGTGAAGGACTTGAAGAAGCAGAAGGATGTCCCTTACCCTGAGACAGAACAGAAGAAAACAGAGAAGCCACTCCCCCTGTTGGTTAAAATAGTGGTGGTAGTTGGAGCAATGGGTGAAGGGGTGGTGGTAATGGTGGTTAACAGTAAATGTCTCATGTCACAGTCACCGATCATCTTATCACAGTTTCAACATCACTTTGCCAATCTGCTGGTCTTCTGGCCACAGTCTAGTCCAGCTGTGGGCAAACTACGGCCCACGGGCCGGATCCGGCCCATTTGAAATGAATACAACTATTGAAATAAAAGACCGTACCCTTTTATGTAATGATGTTTACTTTGAATTTATATTAGTTCACACAAACACTCCATCCATGCTTTTGTTCCGGCCCTCCGGTCCAGTTTAAGAACCCACTGTGGCCCTCGAGTCAAAAAGTTTGCCCACCCCTGGTCTAGGCTGTCCACATATCTCTAAAAATACAATAGCTGAAACATATTATACCAAAAACTTCCGACCTGATTATATTTATGGGAAAATATTGTAGGGGAGAAATGCATATGAAATATAATCTCTTAGAAAAATAATAGTGTAATAAGAGGATATTATATTCCTGACCAAGCAACTGATGTCCAACTCTGTGGAGAAATAATCACAAGCAATACTTTATTAAATGATATATGACAAATCTATACAGCATTAGGCTTTTAAAAACATGCATTACTTAACTCAGCTACCAACCAATACATCAAAATAATATTTAATATGATAAAATTCATAATGCCCAATACAAAGTGTTTTAATCTTTTAAAATATTCATAAATTCCTGCAATGTCACTATTGTACCAATCAGCAAATAAAGAAATGTCTTCACTGTGCCAAGGAAGTAGGGCACAATTAGGAGCAACAAATTCATAAGGACCTCTCAAGGGGTTTCTGGGAAAACTTAGGTACATGAAATGCATTTAATAAGATATTGCAACTTCCTGATTTTGCTTTTTAGTTATTACTTTGAAGAAGTGACTGCTTTGTATGGAATTCATGATAGAGCAGCTTTTTATTACTCTTAAATGAGACTGATCTTTTTTTTTTAAACTTTATTATTGAAAATATTACAAATATCCCTCCTTTTTTACCCATTAATCCCTTCCACTCTGCTCTCGCCCCCTCCCCAGGATTCCCTGCACTATTGTTTGTCCATGGGCTATGCATATATACATTTAAGTTCTTTGTTTAATCTCTTCCCATCCTGCCTTCTGAAATACATTAGTCTGTTGCATGTTTCAATGTCTCTGAATGTTTTCTTCATCATTTTATTTTCATTAGATGCCACATATAAGTGATATCATGTGATACTTGTCTTTCTCTGACTTGTCTTTCTCTATCGCTTAGCATAATGCTCTCCAGGTCCCTCCATGCTATCTCAAAGGGTAAAAGTGAAGTTTTTAGAGGACTGGACAGGAAGGAAGTCATGATGTGAGCATAACCAATGGACACAGATGGGAGTGGGGTGGGGTGAGGACATGCCCTGGGGGTTGGGGGAGACCAGGGAGAGGTCAATGGGGGAAAAAGGAGACTTATGTAATACATTAAACAATAAATAACTTAAATTTTTAAAAAATGTAAATGCCTGTGTGCTACAGGTCCTCTCTCTGTGCATTTGCCTACTCAGCTCAGGATCAAGAGACTAATCTAACCAACATTTCTAACATTTCAAAACAGTTCCTTTGGGAATGTTCAAGTATGAGCAATATTTTTAAAATCATTGTTTCCAATGCATGTCATTTAGAGGAAAACTTTTAAAATTAAACAAACCTATCATTATAGAAAGATACACAAAGTTGCCTTGCATACATTTTCTTAACTTTATGAATTTTTGCCTCAACCATGAAAGCTTTATTCATGTTGGTAAAATCATTTCTGGATTCTCTGCAGAGCCATTTTCTTACACAAGTAAATCAACCTTATTGTTCTATATTCCAATACAGAGTATGTCCCTCCTTGTCTGATGCTTTTGTTACACTTACCCCTTTATTCTAAAATTAGATGCCTGGTGCACGAAATTCATGCACTAGGGGGTGGGAGGGGTCCCTCAGCCCAGCCTGCACCCTCTCGCAATCCATGAGCCCTTGGGGGATACAGTCGGACATCCTTAGCGCTATCACGGAGGCAGGAGAGGCTCCTGCCACTGCACTTACCAGCTGTGAGCCCGGCTTCTGGCTGAGCGGTGCTCCTCCTGTGGGAGCGCACTGACCACCAGGGGGCAGCTCCTGCTTCAGCATCTACCTCCTGGTAGTCAGTGCATGTCATAGTGACTGGTCGTTTCACTGTCTGTGGGAAACCGGCTCTCCAACATCCCCCGAGGGGTCCTGGATTGCGAGAGGGCGCAGGCCAGGCCAAGGGACCCTACTGGTGCACGATCGGGGCCAGGGAGGGGCACAGGAGGTTGGCCAGCCAGCGGGTAGGGGGGACCACGGGAGGGCTCCAGGGCATGTCCAGCCCGTCATGCTCAGTCCCAATCAGCCAGACCTCAGCGGCAAGCTAACCTACTGGTCGGAGCATTGACTGGTCGACCAACCAGTCAACTGTCTGCCCCCTGATGGTTAGTGCACATCATAGCGAGCGGTTGAGCGGCCTTAGCATATCATTAGCATATTATGCTTTGATTGGTTAAACGGACAACCAGACAACCGGATACGTAGCATATCATGAGATAATACACGTGAAAGTGCTTTCAAAATTAAAAGTATTATACAAGGATTTATTCCCATGTTACTATTATCATCAATAGGCTCTGTGTTGTTCTGTCCACTTTACTCTTCCTCCTCAGGCTGGAGACAGCTAAGTCACTCTGAGAAAAGAGTTTACGTTTAGCAGGGCTTGTATCAAGTAAAAGGGAGACTGAACAGGCACCTTTCCAGAGCAAATGACAGTAATAACAACCAGCACTGACAGCTTAGCACTTCAGAGTTTATAAAGTACTTTTCATCTGAGTACCTCCCTCCTTCAATCTTCATAACAACCCTTAACACATTAAGCGCCCAGTCAGTCACCGGTGACTGACACTATACTTTCTATCCAGAAGACAAAACAGGCTGGGTGCTTAATGTGTTAAATGTAAGACCTAGAATTAACTATAAGTTTTAGATGAGAATACCGGGGCTCAGAGAAGTAAAATAAAATGCCTAATGTTTCAGAACCAGTAACTGCTAAGATTAAGACTTGAATGCAGTTCCTCTGTCTACAAATTCAAATCTCTCTCCAACCACATCGTGCAAAGAGGCCACTAGAGTAGCACAGTCTGTCTCCTGGGTCAAAGGTGGCAACACTGCAGTCTAGGCCACCTCTACTGTTGATGTGCCCAAGCCACAGTATCTGAGCTTGCTACTTCCCTAAAGCATTCTGTTCATGTTCCTACCACTACTCTAACTTTTAAAAAAACATATAAACTACAGACTGACATTAGACCAACTAAAAATCAAACATCTTTTCTATATAAATTAACATATTCAACATTACTCTAGCTTTGTACTTCAATGTATTAAATTTAATTTTTACACAATATTCAAGTCTATATAAATGATTCTGAATCAGAATTATTTTATTTAGTATATTAGATATTCCTCTAAATCTGCAATACTAATACTGCCTAATCATTACCAAAAGAGCTTAGATTTACTAATCTCAAATTTTCACTGAGTTTACAGAGGAAGAATCCGTAATAATTTCCATGAGACTATAATGGCCTTGAGAATAAATACCTGTAAGGATAAAAAAGAGATCCAAATAAATGTAATACATGACAACATGCAATCTATGCAGAAAGAGAGGCACAAAAGCATGCTCTAGTACAGAGAAGAGGAAGTCCATTCAGCTATGAGATCAGAGAAGGTTCAAGGAACACAGGCATACGAATTGTGCCCCAATGATGGGTAGGGATAATAAGACAGCACTCAATGCAAAGAAAAAACTTAATCCAATATGCAGAAGTGGGAAAGTAAAGTACCTATTTAAAGGTAAGTATATAGTGTGGTTCTCTGTAATTTATATTCTATCACACTTTTCACTCCTTAATTTCCTTCCCTGGTTCCTTTTCTACCATATGATTCCAAAATATTTACCGAGCTATGTTCTTGGCCCTCTTCTCACTACATACACTCTCTCATTTATTTTCCTCCTCCCATTTTTCAACTAATATCCATGTTCTGATTATTTCAAAATATGGACTTCCAACCCTGATCTCTCTCCTAATCTCCTAAAATCTCTCTCCCAGCCGAAACCGGTTTGGCTCAGTGGATAGAGCGTCGGCTTGCGGACTGAAAGGTCCCAGGTTCGATTCCGGTCAGGGGCATGTACCTGGGTTGCGGGCACATCCCCAGTAGGAGATGTGCAGGAGGCAGCTGATCGATGTTTCTCTCTCATCGATGTTTCTAACTTTCTATATCTCTCACTTCCTCTCTGTAAAAAATCAATAAAAAATATATTTAAAAAAAAAACAAAAAAAAAATAAAATCTCTCTCCTAGATATCTCCACTGGAAGATTCTCATAGGTACCTGAAATTAAATACACATAAATATAATACCAAGGGCTCATGAAACCCAAGAGGAAAAGGTAAATTCAAGAAATTCTTAGAGATCAACTCCTCTGGATCTGGTAATTGATTGGATGGCAGAGTTCAGAAAAAGAGTTCTTGCCCTTAGCCTGTTTGTTCTGTGGTTAGAGCATCAGCCTGCGGACTGAAGGGTTGTGGGCTCAATATAGGGCCAGGGCACAACCTATTACCTCGGTTGCAGGTACAATCTCCAGCCCCAGTC